CCGTCTGAAACATTACTGAAGATTTGTAACAATGCCTGGATCCGTAAGTCTCCCGGTCTGAAACAAGTCTGAAACATCCCTGAAACCAGTCACCCTCGCTAGACTTGGTTGGAAATTGGTAGAAATCTGCTAATACTAACTACCCTGAAGCAAGGCGGAAGCCTGACTATTACATGTATCTGGGTAGTGGCCGTCCCGTTCATAAGGTAGCTGTGTTATAATAAGCAGTGATCATGAGAGAATATCTGTTATCTCCTCCTCCGAGACTCCCTGATAACTCTAATCGGCTTGCTTTGTCCAATCTGGCCTTATCAGCGGTGAACACAAAATGCTTTTGTGCTATCGCTTATCATAGACTGTATCTGCGGGGGTCTTTAGTCCTGTGATCACGTGACCTGATTTAGTCCTTCGTATAATCAGTTAGAACTATATAATAACGCTAATGTTTATGAAGGAGCAATCAGTTAGAACTAATTTAAGAGAGGGAGAGGATGTCTCATCAGTTCACTAGATTTATAAATATATAAACCGCATGTGGGTAGAAAGGTATACCAGCGTGGCCATACCCCGGGCTTCATTAACCATGTGCACAAGCAAAAACCATCTAAATACTAGCTAAATAGCTTAAGTCTGGGATTTGTCGGGGGGTTAGAGATAGTTACGTGTAGACGGAGTACGTCCGGAGCACGTGCGGAGTACGTCCCGAGCACGTGCAGCAGAATGCGCGCTCACTCCAGTCTCATTATTACCTGCCCGTAAAGCAGAGACCTATAGTTTCTCTTAATTATCGGAGATTTATAAGACAAAAGATCTAGACCCGCTGTGGGCTTAGTCCGCATCTCCCCTCCCATAATTTGTATCGTAGCCAGTAGGGAGGAGAGTAACCATAGCAACTATCTAGTAACCAGAGTAACCCTGTAGTAGTACTGACCACGTGACCTACTGACAACGTGACCTACTGACCACGTGACCTGCTGACTGGAGGAGGGTTATGTAAACACGGCTCTTATCTCGCTCTAACACACACTCTAACACAGTATGAGTTCTATACTACTGTAGAGGCAACGTCTCCAGACATAAGGGAAGTTCTTTCTCAGTTCCAACTCGGATTAGAGTACATATTAGTGAATTAGGTTTGTACAATAACCCGGGGGAGGCCGGTACCTTGCGCAAACTGATAGATCCCTTCCAATTGTTCAAGTAGCGGAAATAGCTAGTTATAAGTCCCTCGATACTCCATTTGGAAAAGCAGTTGATCCCTGAAATGTGGGGGAATTGAAATGATAAATGATAGGAAGGGTTTAAAATCAACTCCCGATTGCAGATAAGCAGATAGGATCTGTAGTAATGGGAGAACCAAGGCTTTTGCTCGGGGATAAACATTTAACTTTATTGTTTTAAAATTACATATCGCATACCAATTATGTGTCCATAGTTCATTTGAGCTGACCAGGATAAATTTGGTTATATCGCGGGCCGGGGTTAAGTCAGTCTAAGTTGATTTGGGCGGCCGACCGGCGCCGGCAATGATAAATTGTGCACTGCAACATAAAAGAAAACAGTTGTGAAATTTTAAAATTGAATTTTGGTACCATGAAATTTTGCGCACGGGTACAGGTTAATATGTATACCCGCACATTTCGTTCAACACTTTCACCCACCCATTTTCTCACCTCAATTTTACCATAAAATCACCAAAACAGCAGGACAACTGATAACTGATCATTTGATTTTCACCTGATTTTAGATAACCTCCCACCATAAGACCAGCTCCAAGGTTTATGTCAAGGTCACAGGATCCAGAATATTCCTCGCCAAAAAACCCCAGAGTTTTTGTAGTGTAACTATGGTAACTATCAGAGTTTTTTGCCAGATCACTCACCGACCAGATAGACTCTAAATTTAATGTAATTAATTTGACGATGTTACGTGCGAAATGTTTCATGTCATCGCAGATAGCTCTACTTTGCTCTAAAACCTCCTGTGCCACCCCCGCCTTGCTACAAAATAATTACCCCTTAAAATTTGAGTACTTTTTGAACTTCAACGCCTAAATTTCCTATATAATTTAACAGATGCGCGGCGTTACCATAGCAACTATCTAGTAACCAGGCGAGAAAGGCAGGAAGGGAGGGAGGTTTTAACAGAACAAGTAGACGGGAAGATTTATTTGGGGGTGCCAGGGGATTGTCCCCCGATTTTCTCAAGACAACGCAACAGCCATGACATGTGAATTAGTAAATTTTTCTTTGATGAACTTTTAAATCCGCGGAGCAACTGAAACGGGAGAATTATGAAATACATATGTTGAGTTGCTTTGTCATTAAAATGCAATTTGAAGCCACTCCAATGGTAGCTGGCGAGGAGAATTTAAATTATCCCTCTGTAAAATATGTCAACTAAAATATATCGCGAGAGAGGCTGCATGCTATCGGAATTTATGTAAAAATAAGATGTAAATATCGGAGATGAGCGGGGTTGTTAGGAGAGAAATTAACAAGATGTTGTTAAACTAGCTTACTCAGTGAGTTTGTAGCCCGTGATAGTGCCACTTAACTTTGTCTACTGCAGAGGAGAGAGTAAACCTTGTACTTGTAGTTGTAACATGATGTCGACATCCTAAATCTCAGACTCGCCTCTTGGTACCCCCTCCTCATCGAGAATATCCCAAGAATCATGTGATCGACACACTCTCTCTCTCTCTCTCTCTCTCTCTCTCTCTCTCTCTCTCTCTCTCTCTCTCTCTCTCTCTCTCTCTCTCTCTCTCTCTCTCTCTCTCTCAATAAGAAATATTACAATCACCTATCGGGGAATAACACGCAGCGCTCAAATCTTTGATATGCCTTCCCGTTAATTATTCGAAATTTGTCAAGGTCAAAGTTTTGTGCTGTCAAATATTTAATAATAACGTGAGAGCCCCTGTCAATAATTCTGGTATCCTCGCCTTATTGATGATTTGCGGTAATACGCGCAAGCCAGGCCCGGCAACGTCACAGCAGTATAGAGGATTTTGGAATCTGTGAATTTATTTTTAAACGTATGCAGGGATTTTGGAAGCCAGTGCCACAGCTTGGGCGGCAACTGGTAAATTTTCTTTTGAGATTAATTTTGAAAAGTTGACTCCGAAGATGGGTGAAATTCAACAATTTATAAAGGCTAATATGGCTTGGTGCTTTCCTTTGAACTTTCAGAGTGCCACAGAGAAACCAAAAGCAGGTGATGTGACCAAATTCAGTTTTATGCTAGTATTTTGTTTGGCAGTAATGAACTTTCACAAATAATTTAACCTGAAAATGAGAGATTACTGGTAATTGTCCCATTATTTAAGATTGATCTTTATCATACAGGTAGGATAACTACACGATTATTACGCACAGTCATTTATAATGGCATTCGATATAATAAATATTGGAAATCGTATTATGATAAAGCTGTCAAATTTCGCTGTGTGTGGTACTGAAAATGATTGATTACATGATGAATAGTCCTCGTAATATCCCAGCAATAATAGTCCTCCGCAAGACATTGTGTACTACATGGAGTAGTGTACCTTGTGGAACCTTATTTTAGTGGTAAATGTTAAATAATTATAAGATTATACTAATGGAATCTTAATTTTAGTGGTAAATGTTAAATAATTATAAGATTATACTAATGGAATCTTAATTTTAGTGGTAAAATTAGAATAACTACAAGGATTAAAGGGTGGAATTTTAGTTGAAAATTTGAAATACCTATAAGGTTATACTGACAGAACCTTAATTTCACCGGTAAATAACTAGAGCTAGAGTATGGAAACGTTACAATAACTGGCAGGAACCCAGTGTAGTGCCGGACAATAGGACCACATAACTGATAAAGATGTCAACAAACTGAAGACGCACACACCCAGTGACAGTAACAATTACCGTCCCATTCAAAAACAGGTACCCTAACAAACAAGCAGACACACAAACAGACAAACTTACATTAACCGTATTAACCCGACTGTGTGCTCAGGTGCTGGGAGAATGGCCAGCTCCTGGTAACCATGACACGTTACCATAGTAACCATGACACGTTACCCTAGTAACCATGACACGTTACCCTAGTAACCATGACACGTTACCCTAGTAACCATGACACGTTACCCTAGTAACCATGACACGTTACCCTGGTAACCATGACACGTTACCCTAGTAACCATGACACGTTACCCTGGTAACCATGACACGTTACCCTAGTAACCATGACACGTTACCCTGGTAACCATGACACGTTACCCTGGTAACCATGACATGTTACCCTAGTAACCATGACACGTTACCCTAGTAACCATGACACGTTACCCTGGTAACCATGACACGTTACCCTGGTAACCATGACACGTTACCCTGGTAACCATGACACGTTACCCTAGTAACCATGACACGTTACCCTAGTAACCATGACACGTTACCCTGGTAACCATGACACGTTACCCTGGTAACCATGACACGTTACCCTGGTAACCATGACACGTTACCCTGGTAACCATGACACGTTACCCTGGTAACCATGACACGTTACCCTGGTAACCATGACACGTTACCCTGGTAACCATGACACGTTACCCTAGTAACCATGACACGTTACCCTAGTAACCATGACACGTTACCCTAGTAACCATGACACGTTACCCTGGTAACCATGACACGTTACCCTGGTAACCATGACACGTTACCCTGGTAACCATGACACGTTACCCTGGTAACCATGACATGTTACCCTAGTAACCATGACACGTTACCCTAGTAACCATGACACGTTACCCTAGTAACCATGACACGTTACCCTAGTAACCATGACACGTTACCCTAGTAACCATGACACGTTACCCTAGTAACCATGACACGTTACCCTAGTAACCATGGCACGTTACCCTAGTAACCATGGCACGTTACCCTAGTAACCATAGCACGTTACCCTGGTAACCATAGCACGTTAACCTAGTAACCGTATTAACCCGACTGTGTGCTCAGGTGCTAGGAGAATGGCCAGCTCTTCCAGCTCTACCTCAATTCAAACAGACCAGCAAGGGTGACCTGAGGCCGTGGAGGAGCCTGGATAACACGGCGGCTCAACTTCTGGCAGCAAAGTATAGCCAGCATAAACCTATCGGACAGAGGTGAGGCCTGTTAACTGTTTTTCTGATTCAATTGTGTTTTTATTTTGTGTTGTTTTGATCACTATATTATGTGCCACACTAGATGCTTTATAGTCGCCTGTTTTGTTGTGTCAGTACGGTATTCTGTCCGGCTGATTGTTCCGAACCACTGGTAACATAGTTCAAAAATATCATCTGATATTTATTGGACCCTACGTACCATTGTCCGCCTTCTACCAGTGTTCCGACCGTCTCAGCAATTACAAATCTTATTGTATTTTTTACATCAGACAATGTTTCATATAAAACGGTAATCTTGCTTGGCAGAAATTTTTCGCACGACTATTATCAGTTCTTTATTTGCTCATCAACCTCAATTCTCCTTCTATTTCACCCAATAATCGCAATGGAAAAAGGTAGCATTGTGTTTCACCTCCCCGACCATCTGCCCGGTATCAATCAATACTCAATAATCCTTAATTAACACTTTAACGAGGTTTTCCTAAAGCTTATGCCCAAATTGACAAGGTTAAATTTCTCGGTGCTCCAAATAATTGCCGTTTTTCCACACACTGATTGGAGGCGCGTGCCTGTTTTTCTACGATAACTTTTTCCTAGTAAAAAGTTGTCCTGTTATACCCCAATTGCATTATAATGGCTAGGAAAAATAAAGGAAAAATAAGCATGGTTAATTGGGCCGGGGGAGAGCCCTATATATAATAGTATACTAAACGAACAGCTGATTGAATTATCAATAGTTTTGCAGTGTTTATTACTTTGCACTCACAAAAAATCTTGTAGATTAATATTTGGCCTGTTTTGCGGGCGCAGGATGTGAAGGGTTAATGTGATTAAGAAGGGTTTCACCAATAAACACTTCATATTTCCCTTCCAAAGATACACTAGCTCCAGCTGGCTCGACTTAATTTATTCTACTTTTAACCGGATTACACGGTCTTCAAATATCCAAATATTTATAGAATTATATTTAATAAGTGCATGACACCCACTGGGATGGGATAGTATCAAGATATGATCCCCATATCCCCCTCAAAACACCTGGGATATAACAGTAGTATTTATGAAGGAGCAAGGGATATAACAGACGGATGTTTAGGTCATGTGACAGGTCGCCTGATAGTCTGCGGAGGCAGGGGTGTGGTTTAAGCTGTTACTTTTTATCATAATAGGTGCCATATCTTGGTGGAGTTTTTACAATAATTAACTTAATTCAATGGTAGTTGGAGGGCTGTAAGCAGGTTGTACCACCGGGAGTAGACTGTGTTTTGTGTGATGTTGGGTTGCAGCGAGCCATGTACTGACAAACCGTTAATCGCAAACCTTCAACAAAAAATTTGTTGAAATTCGGCTTGTCGGTTGTCGGGCTACTCTCACAAATTTCTCGAAATACGATTTGTTGAAATACAAATCTCACTTTATTGTGCATGAGTCGTGGGGGTGAACCGAACATGAACTGTAGGACTTGTCGAGCTTAGTAGCAGGTGTTAATGGAGCCACCAAAACTTTAAAGGCTTAGAAATTGGACCAATGGGAGGTTATTATTATGAAATGGTGAATATTACCAGTGATAGATAGTCGATATATATGAGATTCAGGATGCTCCTCCCAATGGTTTGTTCGGTTACACCACTGTTTAATTATATATTATTACGGAAGTAGGAGCGGGTTAAAGGTTTAGATTTGATAATAAATAAAAGTAAATCTCGGGTTGAATTGTAATCATTGGTCACGGTGTACTGTGTGTGTGTGTGTGTGGTTGTAATAGAATCGATGAACCAATCTCTTGAGAAGCAATGTTAAAGTTGGAAAATTAAACCTGTAAACTCACGACCAAGTATTGGTTTAAATATTAATATTTAAAGGGTTAAATATTTCGGCGGGGTGCGCTGAGTTATCATATCAACAAGAGATTTTCTGTGGAAATGTTGTGAGATTAAACTGCATTTGCTGGTATTATGTTAAGTCGTGTAGATTTAAGTTCACTATAACTATGGCTGGGATGATGATAAGGTTTTATACTGATTTGGTTACTGATTTGGTTACTGATTGGTTACTGATTTGGTTACTGTCGTATAGATTTAAATTCACTATAACTATGTTGGTATTATGTTAAGTCGTGTAGATTTAAATTCACTATAACTATGGAAAAGGTTACGCAGATGATCTCAGGCTGTAATTAAAAGTTAAAGGGTGTGGAATACGATATTATTAGCCTTTGTGGATATCTGAGATAAATATGACCCTGAAGTAACCTTGGTACTACATTATGTTTCTATCTTGTAATGTAGCACCCATAGCTCCCACACTTTCAGTCGGATTTCAATATCTCTTTTTCCAGTGGCTCATAAAACGTTGAGTTCTCGGAATAAAGGGTCTTTCAAAAGTTTACATATTATGGTGACTTCTCTATGAAACCTAGAAGTTCGAAAAAAACAACATTTATAATGTAAGTCACGTGACACATCTTGCAGATAGAAATCCCTGTAAATTCTCCTGATCTAAATTTAAACACAACAAAATGTTTTGATAGTAAATTAGCATTATCGGATAGACTAAACACAGTGAAACAGTGTTTCCGTCGCCGCTAATCCCAGTTTGTAACAAATTTCCCCAGCCAATCAGTGCTGAAAATTATAAACTTTTTTCCAATCTTCCTAAACAGGCTCCTAATCCGATTACATTGCGTCTGTTGCAAGTCGATATTAATTGCTATTTTTTCTTAATTCAAATTTCCTCCTTCCCAACATTTAATAACATGGTCCGTACGCACGCGTGTGCCTGGCCGACTGGCCAGGTAATGGCCGTATATCGCACCTATTTACCTGGCTTCTTCCGGTTAATGGACAATCCGAGGATGTGCCCCTTATTTCCGGAATTACTCTGCAAATTAATAATTAGGCTGATGAGCCAAGCTGGTGCTCAAGAAAAATTCCTTTGTTAGTGGAGTTAAAAACCAGGTCTGATAAGATGTTCTGAGAATAGCCAGTTCCAAGAACACAGTTATAACATGATAACTGGTGCATGTTTGTTCAAACATACCTGCTAGTAGTGCTGCTAGTTGGACGCTATCGCACATTTAATGTGCTAATTTCAATGATCAGGAGCCGATGACATCGACAAAAAATTGACGCCATCCAGTCTCAGTAAATGGTTAATTATTGTTTTGAGTTCTATAAACCTACAGGAACTACCTAGCTACCCACACTGTCAACATCTATTGCTTATCTTTCCGCTACTGTTCCCCTTGCAACTAAATATTTGATGTTAATTATTGGGATTATATAGCAGCAGCCGGTAGCTAATCGCCAGCTAGTCGCCAGCTAGTCGCCGTGCGTTATCACTCGTGTTACAAAATAAAGGGATTCGTTCACACCACCTCTTAATTTACATCTCAAATCAACCGTGCAACGTCGGGGGAATCACCAAAAGTCCAAAAATTTATAATATACATATATTTAATATAACATGAGTCTGAACTGTTAAATGGAAATATAAAATAGTGGCACAGTAGTATTTGCCACCAGGCGGGGACGTGCCTTGTGCTGTGTGGTGCACTACCGGCTTTAAAAAAACGGAATCCGGCTGTTCAAATCTGTCGTCGAATTCGCACTATTTCCGAACGGAGAACTGTGATGAATTATTATAAACAGTAGTATTTATGAAGGAGCAAGGGAACTGTGATGAATTATCCTACTGCACATCACCCAAATTTTCGTGCAATAATTCTCAACACTTGTAGGATCTATTTTAACACGTGATGCCCAAATAAGGTAACCCCCACTTGTAGGATTGGAGCCTGATATATTTTTGTGCTGATGTCGTGTGGAAAGAATGAAAAAAAAAACGGGAAGGATTTTATTGATTGAGAGAGCACAAAAGGAAAGCCCTCATTTAATGATGAAGTGATGTTCATTCCCTGACATTGACTGTCAATATTATTTCTAATTAAACATTATTGACATATTGCGTTAATAGAACTAAACGACATGACCCAAGTGAGTGGGGTAGTGGGTTTATTAATAATTTCTGTGTCATTCCCGTACACATGAGGGGGTTACCAGACAAATGATTTGACGGGAGATGTTAATCAGCAACTGATTGGAGAAATAGGGTGGTTTCAGGTGGGACACGTAACCATAGTAACGCCGTTAAATGCGTGTCTAATATGTCGAGCTTATTGGGGGGATCGTCGCTAAAAAGAAGGGTAGTTTTGGTAGTGTTGAATTATGAGGTGATGTAGGTTGAGGTGATTGGGTATGGAGTATGTAGTATTTGGGAGACGTGTGATATTCATCTGTTAGCTGACCTGGGCACGTTGATGTAATGCTAAAGATGGCTTCAAATTAAATCATTTTAGGTGGTGATTTTTTAGCCCTTTATTAGAATTAGTATGTATATATTAGTATGTAGTATACATGTCGTTATCTTTAAAATCGGTTAATCAGTGATTAATGCCTAGGCTGTATTTACATTTAATATAGGCTGAAATGCGCTGACATTTTGACCGGACATGAAATACCAGCCTTAAGAATTTTAAAAATTGAATTTTAATTAGTATAGGTTAAATGTCTAAAGGTCAAACAATTCTAAATAAAGTGCTTGAGTCGGTGCTACCTGATTATCAATACCATCATCGTCCAAAAATAGTTTGAATTTAGTCAACCTTTATCACAAATGCAAATTTGCCGTCAGCCTGCTTTTAGAATTTAGTCACCTAAGGCACATTCAATTCTAATAGGTTAAGGATAAATAGTACATATTAGTATAAGGGTTCATAGTTCACGAGCTGTACCTCTTTTTGTCTGAAATCCTTGTCTGGAATTGTTGTCTGTTAACAGTGCAGCAGTCAATATGGTTTTAAGTTCGTCTGAAAGATAGTCAAAACGTTGACAGATTTGAATGTAACACGCGGGTGGTATATTTGTTATTGTGACGATAGTGACGCATTACCCAGTAGACCATATTTTCCCCGCGCGCAGCTTAAATTTGAGCCGCGCGCACATGTTTTGCCCGTCAACTGTATTGAAGCAATGACAACTCAAACTTCGGACCATCAACCAACTGAAATCCAGAACAAATCAAGCCAGAACTTTTAATTCCAACAACAGAATAATTAGCTTGATTGTCAAAATTTTCCGACCTGCTCATTCCCGACGTACAAGTTGACTTGGTCCGGAGTTCGAGATATTATATAATATAATATCTAATTTGTATCGCAGAGGTTTTAAAACCTGAATACCACGGAAACTAGACACTCTATAGTAATTATAAGGTATACTGCTTCTGTGTACATATCTGCTATATCACAAAACTGATCCGTGGAATATGATGTTGTTTATTCTCTGCTTTGTTTTTTTTCTCAACTTTTCTCACATTTTCAGAAGAAAGAGGACCTCCTTTAGCCCCGCTACTACACTTTCTCTGGAATCTTTTGCAAACAGCATCAATTGGAAGAGAGGGGAGAGTGAGAAAATTAACGAGTTTGCTCAAAAACACGGGCTCACCTTCTACCAAGTCAAGGTAAACTCTCAGCTCCTTTATCAATATTACTAAAGTACTAAGTTACTGTTCCTACACCATTTCTATGTAATTCCTAAACTATTTCCATTTTGTTTCTCAATACTCAGTACCAAAACACCAGTCGGCACTTGCAAAATTAAATTATAACCCGCCCTCAAATCGCACGTTCACCAGGATAGGATAACAGGAGCTCCTTTATCAATATTATCAATATCTGTTCACTCCGTATGGTGCCGATCACCTGTTTCCTATTTGACCCCAGGAAATTGGGTCATCGGAACGTAGCTCTGTGTCCCATTGTTAGGGGCACGGGGCCCCCACATAACATACCGCAGATAATTGAGTTTATAGTCAGACAAATGTTAGATTCAGCAGGTTCACCAGTTAGATTAGCCTGATCCTCCTTCCCTCCCTCCCCAAACTCAGTGGACCGTCCTCCATTTGGTGCTAAATTGCAACACTTGAACACCTCTTTTAATTCTTTGTTTGTGGAATATAATAGAGTAATATAGAGTAACTATACGTATAATAGAGGACTACTCTTATGATCCGTGTTTTTGTCTGATTTAAAATTGGAATGATCGAGAAAAAGTGAATCTCACGACGTCCCATCTAAAGTAGCCACACATGATGATTAAAGTGATGTGCGGTAAGAGTACTCACGAGAGATGTTAAGGGATGATGGCTGACAAGCATGAAGTTTGCAACATGTGCACATTAAAAGACCCCCTTATTCGCTGATTAGAAAATTTGTACCTTGCACTTTATTGGTCTAGCTAAAAGTATCTAATTAATCGGTTTAAAGTCGATACCCCACGTGTCTCCATTCAACCAATCACTGCTTGGAAACTCCCGGGCCGTCCAATGAGACACGTCATCTTGTCCGACAGTGTCCGACTAAATAGTCTAAACGTTTTAAACCAGTTAAAGCGTTGTTAGCTCTCATTTTTCAGGTAGATATCTGATTAATTAATGTATCGATACTGTTAAATATCTGTGAGTAGTAGTAACCATAGTAACTATAGTAACCATAGTAACTGTGAGTAGGTAGTGGAACCTGCACCCTGGTTACCAGGGTAACGTACCATGATACTGTTAAATATCTGTGAGTAGGTAGTGGAACCTGCGCGTGATTACAATTTCCAAAGAAAGTACTAAAATTGAGAGAAAGAATGCCACGTGGTTAATCAAAGTGCAGGTTCTGCTTGGTACAAGAGACCAGAAACCGCTCTATTTCACGTCTATTACCGGATAAATTGCCATTTAATTTGTGGCCCCCTGCGGCTCGTTTGCCCGGATTATGCAGAGTCTGCTTATTAAAAAACACGTGTTTTTAGGTCACGTGCATACTGAAGTTCTTAACGAAACGTACAAAGTTCTTCGAATAACTTATCATGGACACTGAATAACAGTACTTAAAGTACAATCTCACCCTGAAACAGCCCTACCCGTCTAACACAATAATTTACAAGATTGAGTTGAGTCTAGAATGACAAGTTCTCCTTTTTCAGGTTTGGATGAACAACCACCGACCTCGCAAGGCAATGTCGCACCAGAACAATACCCAGTACAACATCCCCAGCTCTGCTGGATTCTACAACTCTGCTAATTCCGCGGACCATGCCAGAGAGATCAACAAGGTGAATATTAGGTTACTAGGTTACTAGGTTACCAGGTTACTAGGTTACTAGGTTACCAGAGAGATCAACAAGGTGAATATTAGGTTACTAGGTTACTAGGTTACCAGGTTACTAGGTTATAACATCCCCAGCTCTGCTGGATTCTACAACTCCGCTAATTCCGCGGACCATGCCAGAGAGATCAACAAGGTGAATATTAGGTTACCAGGTTACCAGGTTACCAGGTTACTAGGTTACTAGGTTACCAGAGAGATCAACAAGGTGAATATTAGGTTACTAGGTTACTAGGTTACCAGGTTACTAGGTTATAACATCCCCAGCTCTGCTGGATTCTACAACTCCGCTAATTCCGCGGACCATGCCAGAGAGATCAACAAGGTGAATATTAGGTTACTAGGTTACCAGGTTACTAGGTTACCAGGTTACTAGGTTACCAGGTTACTAGGTTACCAGGTTACTAGGTTACCAGGTTACTAGGTTACAAGCTCTGCTGGATTCTACAACTCCGCTAACTCCGCGGACCATGCCAGAGATATCAACAAGGTGAATATTAGGTTACTAGGTTACCAGGTTACCAGGTTACTAGGTTACTAGGTTACCAGGTTACTAGGTTACCAGGTTACTAGGTTACAAGCTCTGCTGGATTCTACAACTCCGCTAACTCCGCGGACCATGCCAGAGAGATCAACAAGGTGAATATTAGGTTACTAGGTTACCAGGTTACTAGGTTACCAGGTTACTAGGTTACCAGGTTACTAGGTTACCAGGTTACTAGGTTACAAGCTCTGCTGGATTCTACAACTCCGCTAACTCCGCGGACCATGCCAGAGAGATCAACAAGGTGAATATTAGGTTACTAGGTTACCAGGTTACCAGGTTACTAGGTTACTAGGTTACCAGGTTACTAGGTTACCAGGTTACTAGGTTACAAGCTCTGCTGGATTCTACAACTCCGCTAACTCCGCGGACCATGCCAGAGAGATCAACAAGGTGAATATTAGGTTACTAGGTTACCAGGTTACCAGGTTACTAGGTTACTAGGTTACCAGGTTACTAGGTTACAAGCTCTGCTGGATTCTACAACTCCGCTAATTCCGCGGACCATGCTAGAGAGATCAACAAGGTGAATATTAGGTTACTAGGTTACCAGGTTACCAGGTTACTAGGTTACTCGGTTACTAGGTTACCATGCTAGAGAGATCAACAAGGTTCGCTCAATAATTATTATATTTGGATCGGCTTATTATTTGGAGAGGTTAGCCTAGACGGTCTAATTTGTTGGCTAGCTTTTAATATCCATTTCCTAACTCAACATTTATGACTTTCCGTCGAATGACCAGATGACATTTGGCTGATGCAGTCTATCATATCATGTTATACAAACTTATAACTTTATGGCTTTTCCAAAATCGATCTCGAAAAATAATAAATACACCATTTTTTTATAAACAGACTTTAGTTCTGCGATTTATGCCCATCATTCGGCCTTTATCCAAAAACGTAAAACTTAAAGACGTCTTCTTGATCCTAAACACGGCTAATTCTATCGCAGACCACACAAGACTTGTCTATAACTTGACATTTTGTCTCTAAATCTGCTCACAGTCTCTAATTACAGGTAATAGCCGCCTTAGAGGAGCCTCTCCAGATGAAGACTGAAATGAACAATGTTCCGGTCTCACTTCCCACCTCCTTTGGAGGGTCCTCACTGGGGCTGGGTAACAACGCCCTGACCAACGCTAACACAGCCCTCAGCAACGCACTGACCTCTCAGGCACTTGGCTTGAAGATCCCTACTTCTCTTCACATCCCCACTACATTGGGGCTATTTAATACCTCTCTCAGTGTCGCTAATACGCCCATCCCTTCAACTGGTATGTGGTTACCACTAGTTAGTTACCATAGTTACCACTAGTTACCACTAGTTACCACTAGTTACCACTAGTTACCACTAGTTACCACTAGTTACCACTAGTTACCACTAGTTACCTCTCTCAGTGTCGCTAATACGCCCATCCCTTCAACTGGTATGTGGTTACCAATAGTTAGTTACCATAGTTACCACTAGTTACCACTAGTTAGTTACCATAGTTACCACTAGTTACCACTAGTTAGTTACCACTAGTTACCACTAGTTACCACTAGTTACCACTCTCAGTGTCGCTAATACGCCCATCCCATCAACTGGTATGTGGTGATATTTCTAAATTTGTCAAAATTTTCATAAACTGTCATCTCTTTGTCGGGAACTGCTAATTGTACATGCAGAATTTAAAAGTTCATGCATTCCGAATTTTAAAAGCAATATTTCGGTCTTTAGAAACTCACAGCTTCTAGCAAATTTTCAAATATAACCTCGATGAAGCCTTCTGTTGGTACAGCCGTCCATTTTCCACGTACAAATTCACTAAAACCAGCTCTTTCCAAGACATCCAACCAAAAAGCTAAACATATTTAACAATTCTACTTTTAAAATAAAACTTTTAACTTATTGTTATTTTCAGAAGGCAGTCCGCCTCAGTCGGAAGCACAATACAGTACCTCCTCCCCACTCTCCTCCCCAGCCCTGGGGCCCACTTCCCTCTCCTCCTCCTTCTTCTCCCACCCGAGAAGTGGCTTCACTGTGCCCCACATCTCCACACCTTTCACCCTCCCCACCATCTCCTCGACTACCTCCCTCTCCACTGCCACTACCATTGCTAATGTTATCACCGAACATATGAAGGTAATGTTGTTACCACTAGTTACCATAGTTACCATAGTTACCATAGTTACCATAGTTACCACTAGTTACCATAGTTAGCATAGTTACCATAGTTACCATAGTTACCATAGTTACCATAGTTACCATAGTTACCATAGTTACCACTAGTTAACTCCCTCTCCACTGCCACTACCATTGCTAATGTTATCACCGAACATATGAAGGTAATGTTGTTACCACTAGTTACCACTAGTTACCATAGTTACCACTAGTTACCACTAGTTACCATAGTTAGCATAGTTACCACTAGTTACCTCCCTCTCCACTGCCACTGCCATTGCTAATGTTATCACTGAACATATGAAGGTAATGTGGTGGAGATTTTGTCTGGTTATGGTTTCAATTTTACTTAATGGTTTATATTTTAAAAAGAACATGGTGTTAATTTGTAACACTAGACAAAGTCTGGCCAGGTTATCAGTCTGATGACACATTGCAAGTTCCCATTTTCAACCCTTAATTTCAGTCGGAGAGATTGTCCCCTAAAGGGGATCAAGCCGGGAGAGAGAACTTCAAGTCCACTCATCCGCTACTGGATAACGTTTCACTGGACAGTGCCTTCAGGTACTTTAATTAATTTATAATGCCTCAAGGTGCCAGCTCTTAGATAGTTGTAAGTACCTTTAGGTTCCACTTTTAAAATCTTTTAGTGTCTTTCAATACTAATTTTATTAAATTTTATTGCTTTGATGTACCCACTTTTAAAAGGGCTATTGTGCCACAAAGAATTTAAAACTTTTGATGCGCTCTGATAGGTTTAGTCTGTCTAGGGACCTTTTTATAATTTCAAACATAAAGTGCCTTCAAGTAGCACTTTTAAATAGTTTTAGTGCTTTAATGTCCCATTTATAGTAACCGTAGAATGTTCATAGGGGTTCCTAGGTATTTAACACATTTCCTGTTATTGAATATTAAACATATTTGAGAGCTGTAAATTAAATTAAAATACTCGCGACTAACAGAATGTGTTTTTCAGGCCTCCAAGTTTCTCCCACAATCTACACAGTGTCTTTACCCGGCACGGTCAGGAGAGCACTAGCTCTGGCAGCTGAACTAATCTGAGGACCGTTCTGTTACCATGACCACGAGTTACCATGACTACAAGATATCATCATGTCACCTCTCACAAGATACAGCAACAGGGTTGCTGTTCTTATACTGACGTTGAAAAAAGCTGGATAGTTTCCATGACTACAAGATATAGTTTCCTTGTGTTTCAAGTCGCTGAACACTCTACCTGTGTGCTGTTGTTGAATCGACGAGACTTTATTAGCAGCGAGGATAATCACATATTCACATGATATTTATATTTATCACTGTTTCTAGACTCTTCCACGGAGTGTCTATCTTTCTATATATTGACAACCCTCAACCTGACATTACTTCAAAGTAAATTATTCTAAGTAGCTGAAAATGTTGAGTAGGTGTTGACAAGAACGTCTAAATTTGAAGTTATTGAAGTTTAATCTTTTATACCGGCACAGTTTCACACTGGTATCGGCCCTTTGACAAAAGCGATTGCAGAATATAAGCTTGGCTCATTTTTATCATACTATTTAATGTTTGGTGGTTAAAACAGTATTGACAACACTTGCAATGATCAATCAACATTTTACATCAGCATTTCCAGATATATAACATGTTTTGAATGTTCTATTTTAAGATTATGACACAATTGTTGCCAGCCAAGCTGTTCGACATATTAATGTTGAGGAGCATTGCAAGAAAATAATGAACTAAAAGGTGTAAAACGATTGATTACTGGGATTTTACTGTTATTAAAAGACAAAAAATCACCAACAGAAGAATAAAGAGAAGACGGAAGATTACCAAACTTTTTTTTGCCGATGACAATTTTTAATCTATAATGATCGAGGGAAACACAACATTTGAAAATTTAGATTGTTGGTATCTTCCAATAAATAAATTTGTAAATACTATATTTAACCTCCCTTGACTGGTTTCATTAAGTATATTTGTTTATATTTATTTCCAACTGTAATTCACAGCTCAGTTGTTACTGTAAAACATGAAATGCTTGTTTTATTTCGTTACCTTAAAAGTAACCTTAAAGTTAAGTTTAAGTTTTAGTTAAATTAAGTTGGTTATTATTCTGGAAATATCTCCAGGGATACTCAGATATGTCGCCATCATTTTGATTTACGAAATATGACAGAAATATGACGGATTGCTCCAAAATCCAAGTCTTTTTAAAACATCAGTTTTAATAAACTGTAAGAAATTCTATAAGTTTTTTCGTCGGTCTTTATATTATTGGAGAAATTATTATTAGAGAAATTTCCACCCCTCTTATAGTTCAAATCAATCTTACAGGTCAAATAAGTTGGAAATTACCTAATATTACCTAATTGCCTGAACTATATAAACGGCAATAAGGAACTAGTCACTGAACGGAAAGAACTCGCCAACATCCTTCAACAACAGTTCTACTCCGTTTTCAGCGACCTTAACTGTCCCGACACAGCAGTCCCTACATTTGCGGTAGAGACAAGGAAATTGTGTTTACACCTGATAGTATCATGGAAGCTATATCTGAAATCAAGCTAGACTCTGCCCCTGGACCCGATGGAATACCAGCTATTCTTCTCAAAAGATGTGCTATTAGCCTTAGTGTCCCGATTTATCTTATGTGGTCAGAGTCCATGTCATCTGGTATAGTGCCAAGCTTCTACAAGACGGGTTATTTTTCGCCACTATTCAAGAAAGGCAGTAGATTTGAAGCTCAAAACTACAGACCTTTCACTTTGACCTCCCAAGGAAACATATGGTGGAGTATTTGGAAGCCAACAGTCTCTTGACCGATAAGCAGCATGGTTTCAGAGCGAATAGGAGCTGCTTGACTCAAATGCTCGGCCATTTTGACGACATCTATTAAGGGTTTACTCGTGGTAAAGACACAAATTCTATATATTATCTGGATTACACTAAGGCGTTTAATAAAGTTGACTTGAATCTTGTCATCCACAAGCTGAAAAAATATGGGGGGGGGGGGGGGGGGGGGGTTTCATGGCAAACTCATAGAGTGGATAAACTTAAAGTCCTTTCTCTTTGATCGTGATCAACTCGGATATCGCAAAAGTTTTAAATGGTGTTCCTCAAGGAAGCGTTTTCGAGCCGCTTCTCTTTATCTTGTTCATCAATGATCTAGACCAAGTCGTGGCTTCATCTAGGGTGAGTTTTTTCGCCGATCAAACAGATTGGCTGTTTTGAAGACTGTCAGTTGTTACAAGAACATCTCTATAAGATTCTTGACTGGTCACGTAGCAACAACATGAAGCTTCACGAGCAGAAGTTCGAGCTGTTAAATCACCTCCATAACAGTAAGAGCTCATTCCCCGAACTACCCTTCTTTGCCGAAACACTGCGTTACAAAGTAGCTTTACCCTGTCAAGAACGTCCGAGATTTTGGAGTAATGGTTTCAATTGATCTTAGCTGGTCGACACATATCGGCAACATCTTACTATATATAAAGCGAGACGATATATATGGAGGGTTCCGTACCATTTTACTGACACCACGGCATCAACTTTAACGCGACTTTCCGCAAAAACCGTAAAAGATATACAATTGAAACGTTTTTGACTGGGTCAAATGCTTTAATGGCCTCCAAATCAGCATGAAAAAATAAAAAATTGGCCAAGAAATAGGAGTTTAAGACCCCAAAATTTGGACCCCCAAGTGGTGTCAAAAACGCGAATTAAATAGGTAATAATTATTTTAGTCTGTTGAGTCTTGACACCATTTTAGGGTTATACGGGTTTCTGCTAGTTAGTATAACTAGCAGGAACCCGTATAACCCTAAAATGGTGTCAAGACTCAATAAGAGACTAAAATAATTATTACCTATTTAATTCGCGTTTTTGACACCACTTGGGGGTCCACATTTTGGGCTCTAAAACTCCTATTCCTTGGCCAATTTTTTATTTTTTCATGCTGTCTTGAAAAGCATAAAAGCATTTGACCCAGTCAAAAAAGTTTCAGTTGTATATCTTTTACGGTTTTTGCGGAAAGTCGCGTTAAAGTTGATGCCGTGGTGTCAGTAAAATGGCACAGATAAATATATATATATCGTCTCGCTTTATATATAGTAAGATTAGTACAGGGTGGGCCAAAAGTCAGTGGGCATACGTTGGCCTTAATAGCTCCGCCGTGCTTTATATTTGAGAGCTGTTGCTTTGCAGATGGCATACTGTACTTACTGGTTCGAGGATTCCATCGTCAATATTTGAAAATTCGAATATTTTAGACCACGCCCATTCAATATTAAAACACTTATATTGTTTTCCCTGAACATGCTGAGTGCCTAATTTTTTCAGAGACGGTAGATTATTAAATGTTGCATATGATCTGAAAACATGAGGCAAAACGGATTAGAAATGACGAAGTTATCAAGTATTTCCTGTATCTCGTTAACAAAATTGACTGGGTGATTATGTGACACCGTGACACGACACCTTAATTGAGCACCCTTAACAATTCCCATAATGTTTAACGTGGTGGTTAACGGGGTCACCTAATCACGTGATTAGGTAAACCAATCACCTGATCACACGTAATGAATAAACTCGTTATGCTTCATATCTCGGTCATCTGAGAAGCTACAGTTCTAATTTTTTCAGGACTTAAACGTAATTCGAATGGCCAAACACAATTCAATAAAATTTAGCTCAATTCGACTATCCAAACTATCAAATTAATGCAAAAATGAACCTTCATTTAAAAAAAATGAACTCGAATATTTTTCGATATGACAAATTCCTCGAACCAGTAGTGGTAATAAGTCATACCAGAAAGAATTATTTCAATTGGGCACTCAGTGACTGAGCTATTAAGGCCAACGTATGCCCACTGACTTTTGGCCCACCCTGTATAATTAGTATAATTAATAATTAGTGCTTTAGTGTACATGATTTTCCTTTATGCAGACTTATAGAACGGCTGCACGACTTATAACAGACCCCTATTATTAGGGGTCCCACGGTTATCAGATCATGTCACCAATTAGTTATGTGATCCATCAGTAAAATTTAATTTACCTAGAAACCTTAACTTGTTAAACTTAAATACCTTACGAGACATATTTAGAAGGTACGGAAGCCGGTGGTTTTCCGAAAAAAACACCATATTTTCAGACTACCAAAATGTAGGTCAACATCATTAATCATTATGTTCCTCAATTATTTTTCACGTATTTTCTTTAATTATGACTTTGTCGATTTACTATTAATATAGTAAGTTATAAATATGATTCATGACGGTTGGACACGTTCCATTAGAAGTCAGCAAGCTCTGCTACTATTTCATTTGCCACGGCGGTGAAATTTCGGGAGTGGTGGAGGATAACAACACCGGCGGTGTCCCACAATTCCGTCTAGAGGATTGGAAGTCAAGTTAAAACTAACTTTCAAAGGTGCCGGAGGAACTGTTTATAAGATAAACCAGCTTGTAAGCTTGTTAGAGGTGCGCTACACCTGGGACTACGCCGGAGAGAGAAAACTTCCCTGAACCAGTAGATCAAGAAGAAATTGACTTGTAATTTTTCAAATTTCATATTTACTTTATTGATTTTCTCAAATATTGGGTTTTATTTTTGTAAAATGAAGAAACGAAAAAAATCCCAAAGTAAAATGATTTAATTTGGGATACGAAATGCGGTGGTTTTCGGCAGAAAATCCCATATTTTCGTTCCCAAATCATTTAGGTCACCGGAATTATGTCGAATATAAATATGTCTGTTGAGTCTTGACACCATTTTAGGGTTATACGGGTTCCTGCTAGTGTTACCCAAAGCAAGGAGCACGCAATCTTTGGTATTCAGTGTGTTCAAAACTCGCGACAAGACCGTTATGACTACTCTCTACAAGTCACTAGTAAGAAGCTTACTAGAGTATTGCTGCCCACTCTGGAGCCCTACCAAGGTGACTGAAATACAGCTGATAGAGGGGGTGCAAAGAACTTTCACCAGTCGTATTGGCGGTCTTCAGCATCTCAACTATTGGGAAAGACTCGTACAGCTTAAATTGATGCCTCTACAGCGCAGACGGGAGAGGTATATCATCCTGATGATGTGGAAGATTCTCCATAAGGCATAATGTGGTACCAAACTGCTGTGATATCAAGACCCCAAGACACGGTGATGTAGCTGTCATACCCTCATTGTCAAAATCAAGTTCCTTACGCAACCAGTCACTATACGACAGGTCTTTTGCAGTTCAAGATCCGAAGCTTTGGAACAAGGTTCCTCACACAGTAAAGGCTGATGCATCCTTTGACATGTTTAAGTGCAGTTTGTCGAACTTTCTTGCTTTGATACCGGACAACCCTCCGGCTTCTAATACTTTCTAATACCTTGGCTTCTAAATTGATACATACCTAAGATTTCATATCTATAAGTAATACCTAAGATTACCTAAAATTCTAACCAGCGTTAAACTCTGAAGTGGTCATTAAAAGATCGTTCAAATGACCACGTACAAAAATATAATGGTAACAAAAAAGCATGGCATAATATTTAAAAATAACTGATGATAACTTCGTAATCATATCTTTTTTGTACAATTAGGGCCATTTTGGTTCATGAAGTGTTTATTATAGCGCTCTCATGAGTAAATTTCCACTCAAAAATTAGGTAGATGATCTTCAAAACATAATATTGCTCTCAAATTGGAGAAGCGGGACGTGGTTTTTAATTACCATACAGCATTTTAAGATAACACTTCGGATTAAATTACTGACCGTTTTCCAATCGGTAAACTTAATGGCTTTGAATTATTAAATTGTTAGTTATTGAATTATTAAATGAATAGATCATTACGGTGAACGGTTATTGAATTACTATTCTCACTATAATCATAATTATAAATATTATGATTAAATGGTAAATATGATAATTGTAAATATAAATATTGATTCGTGAACATAATCTTCAGAACATGTCACTCCAATCAACAAATTCCTTTTCTCGAAGCATAATATATAAATTACTAGACTGTAAGACTGGCGTAGACTGTTAACTGTTCATAATATATAGCTGGAATAAGCTGATCCGCTCCAGTGTTTTAAAACTCACTACTCGTGTCTGCCGTTTTTAATTTTAAACAAAATCCCCTGACCACATTAATTTGGTCGAAGCCAAACCGGTCACTTGCAATGATTATGAAGTCACATGTAATGAAGTCACGTGTAATAAAGTCACGTGTCATGAAGTCACGTGCAGTGAAGTCACGTGTTATGAAGTCACGTGCAATGAAGTCACGTGTTATGATAGGAGTCCGTGGTAATTTTGGTAATTCTGGTAATTCTCCTCATCCTAATTAGAGGTCGTGCCGTCGTGAGTGGTAGTATACTCGTCAGTTCTCAAGTGTAAGGTGTTCACAAGTAGATTCAGTCTGATTGTTTGGTTGCTTGCGAAGAGATGAAGTTTGTGTTGGTGCTTGGTTTAGCTTTCTGTTGCAGTGTTGTGGGGGCTAATGTTTTAAATGGTAAGACTTTCATTAATCAGCTTATCTTAGTTCTAGTTCTACATTTCTGATCAAACTACTCTGAATTACTTCGGGTTATTGAGTCTATATCGGAAATATTAATTAGTGGTTTCAGTGTTTACAATCATTATTTTTGTTAATTATTGAAGAAGCATATCTTTTGATACCTTGATGTTGATGAGCTGAATAGAATAGCAAAATACCCAGAAAACCTTACTCATGGCCAGGGCCTAACTTCAAAAGTAAAAGAGATAGCGACCACCTCTAGTAACACCGCAAGCCAGTAAGAGATAGCGACCACCTCTAGTAACACCGCAAGCCAGTAAGAGATAGCGACCACCTCTAGTAACACCGCCAGCCAGTAAAAGAGATAGCGACCACCTCTAGTAACACCTCTAGTAACACCGCCAGCCAGTAAGAGATAGCGACCACCTCTAGTAACACCGCCAGCCAGTAAAAGAGATAGCGACCACCTCTAGTAACACCTCTAGTAACACCGCCAGTCAGTAAAAGAGATAGCGACCACCTCTAGTAACACCGCCGGCCAGTAAAAGAGATAGCGACCACCTCTAGTAACACCGCCAGCCAGTAAGAGATAACGACCACCTCTAGTAACACCGCCAGCCAGTAAGAGATAGCGACCACCTCTAGTAACACCGCCAGCCAGTAAGAGATAGCGACCACCTCTAGTAACACCGCCAGCCAGTAAAAGAGATAGCGACCACCTCTAGTAACACCTCTAGTAACACCGCCGGCCAGTAAAAGAGATAGCGACCACCTCTAGTAACACCGCCGGCCAGTAAGAGATAGCGACCACCTCTAGTAACACCGCCGGCCAGTAAAAGAGATAGCGACCACCTCTAGTAACACCGCCAGTAAGTAAGTTTTGCTGGTAGACATCCTCTAAATTTCTGCATTCTCAGTTAACAAATCGAAGAGATGGGTGAGAAACAACGAGCCGTACAAAGTAGAGCCAGGGCTGGAAGTTGGGGATGAACTAGAGGGCATGTTTATAGGGAACCCACACTACTACATTTCATTTACTGACGGGGCACAGGGTCGCACCATCCTCGAAATCCGGTACTAACCTTGTTGTATTCAGTATCATTGTTTTTAATTTCAGATTATTGTTCATTACCACGTGTCAAATTAAAGATTGAATATGTTACTTATAAATGTTTCGAAAGTTTATAAAACATGTGATAATCGTCTTCAGCTGAATGTGTTAGTGTCCCCATTAATAACCGACCATAATTCAGCACTATCATGCATAGTATATAGCAGTATAGCAGTATAGCCATAGGGGCAGTATCCGATCCGAGTAGCCCGACATGTGTTTCCGAACAAGTGTTTCTAAACAGGTGTTTTCGAACAGGGTTAGGGTTAGAATAAGGGTAAGGGTTAGAGTTCGCCTTAACCCTAACCCTAACCCTAACCCTAACCCTAACCCTAACCCTAACCCTAACCCTAACCCTAACCCTAACCCTAACCCTAACCCTAACCCTAACCCTAACCCTAACCCTAACCCCTAACCCTAACCCTAACCCTAACCCTAACCCTAACCCTAACCCTAACCCTAACCCTAACCCTAACCCTAACCCTAACCCTAACCCTAACCCTAACCCTAAACCCTAACCCTAACCCTAACCCTAACCCTAACCCTAACGTACCCTAACCCTAACCCTAACCCTAACCCTAACCCTAACCCTAACCCAAACCCTAACCCTAACCCTAACCCTAACCCTAACCCTAACCCTAAACCCTAACCCTAACCCTAACCCTAACCCTAACCCTAACCCTAACCCCTAACCCTTACCCTAACCCTAACCCTAACCCTAACCCTAACCCTAACCCTAACCCTAACCCTAACCCTAACCCTAACCCTAACCCTAACCCTAACCCTAACCCTAACCCTAACCCTAACCCTTACCCTAACCCTAACCCTAACCCTAACCCTAACCCTAACCCTAACCCTAACCCTAACCCTAACCCTAACCCTAACCCTAACCCTAACCCTAACCCTAACCCTAAAACACCTGTTCGCGAACACAATATGTACTCGGGCTACTTGGATATACAAGTACCTTTATACTACCTGTATAATAATACTAGTACTTAATTTGATACTTAATTTACAGTTATTCTCGTTGTTTCATCGATGATTGAGCTCCAATCAAAATGTCCCCATTAATAAACAATACGATTACAAGCGTAAAGCTCGTTTAACCTTAATACCAGAATTCAGCACTATTAGTAGCATATATAGGTACATTATAAGTGTTTTGATACTCAATTTACAGTTGTTGTTTCACTGATGGTTGAGCTCCAATCAACAAACAATATTGTCCACCAGGATTGGACAAGCGAGCACCTCTATCCAGCACACGTCAGGCTGTGAGGGGTACGGACCTAGTTTTAAAATATTCCGAGACGCTGTTACTACTAACGAGTTCCAGGTATAACTTAAACTAATTACAAATCCATTACATTTATTAAGGAAACGTTGTAACAGAGTCGACATGGTGCCATGGGGTGGCAAGTCCCCATTCATCGTAGTCCAGTAGTTTCATTGCGTCCTAATATACTCCTTCATAATATTAAACATTGCGTCTAGTAGTAGTTTCGCTGCATCGTAATTCCTTATTATACGAAACTACAGTTATCATCCAATGTTATTATTGATCGAATAGGTTGTTTTAATTTGATTTCCGAGCTCTTGGTTGAACACGGTGTGATGAATTGCGGTTTGTGAAGAAAACCCCAACCTCTCAGGGCTCACTTGAGTCTTAATATCGTGCTTGTCAAGTTTTATCACAATTCATCTCCTCATTTATAATTTTAACCGCAGCATGCCTCACCCTCAACGCAAATAGCACACAAACTCCATTATCAAATTTGTGGTACTCCCAATCTCCCATGTTTGTGGTACTCGGACTCCTCCCATGCACCACTCCCACTTACAAAGTAGTAAAGTGATAGTTGTCATGGTAACTAGTGTAGTTGTCATGGTAACTAGTGTAGTTGTCATGGTAACTCCCACTTGCAAACTGGTAAAGTGGTATCAGCCCCTGATCACGATATAAAAACTCCCTTACCACAGCTAATGTATGAAACAAATTATTTAAACCCGACACGATTTACAGATCAGCGGGAAAGTCTATTTCTAGTCATTTAGGTGTGACGTCACACCACGTGTTATGCCGTCACACCACGTGGTGTGACGTCATAACACGTGGTTTGACGTCATAACACGTGGTGTGACGTCATAACACGTGTTATGACGTCATACCACGCGTTAAAAGCGGGAAAGTATATTTCTAGTAATTTTTGTTCTGTTTCAATTTCATTATGATTAGATATCTAATTTTATCCAATCAGACAATAACTGTTCTACAGAGAATCACAGTGAAGCTGAAGAAGGACGGCCTGGTTTTCAGTCTGGACGACAGAAACGACCAGGTGCTCAAGCTGAAGGGCTGCAGTTTTCCCTGGCAAAGTGTCAAGTTCATCGAGTTTGGGGGAGACTGCAAAAAGACCTACGGCAACTGGAGGAATTTCCTCATAGATCGGGATTAGATTATGATTCCTATTAGATCGGGAATTGTCATACGTTGTATGACCCGCCGCACACGAGTGCGCGGCTACCCCTGTATCGTAGAAACTCTGCAGCCACAGGGGTACACTATAGTGAAGCGACAGTGGGGGTCACCACGTGATACAAATCGGGGACTGGGAGAGCGCTTTAATTTAGGTGACGTTTTGAACTGATAACGCAAACCATTAAATATATATGGTATAATAAACTGGTTAGTATTTCTAGAATTCCTTTTGTAGTTTTCTTTTTTAGATTTATTACTTTTTGTGGCCTAATTTCGATTAGTAATATTTTAGAATATCTCTTTGACTTTATTACTATCAACAGTACTTATGAAATATATATATTTCATCTAATTTATTTTTAAATTTTGTTTTTGATTCATCTAGTGACACCAAACAATGTTTATAGCAGTCGGTCCAAACTTTACTGGGCGGCGCTCAGCCTGTCATTCCGCCGAATTATGAACATAATAGCCTGGGGTCCCCAGGTAATCCAAACTCTGAAAACAAAACCAGTTGAAACGATCAATATTGTTTCAAGTTTTAGTTTTCACGGTCGAGATGTTAATATAATTATAAGTTGTCAGAAACATACAGGGTGGCCCAAAAGTGACTACCCACACGCAACCTTTTAATAACTCACGTAATTCGATTTCCTGAAAGTTCCGTAAGCCACGCCCAATTACAGTGGGCGTGGCGTGACACTCCCTCCTTTTCACTATTGAAAATGAATACAACCCGGACCCCATAAATCAAATTGGCTTCGCTAAAGGAGCTAAAACATATGACCACATACTCACACTCAACACCATTACGTCAAAATACAAAAAGCTCAAGGTTCCCGTCTATGCTGTTTTTGTGGACTTCCGGAAAGCCTTCGACTCTGTTTATTTGCCTTGAAGCTCTTTTCTTAAAATTAGCTAAACTAGGTATCACTGGCAAAACATTTAATGTTCTTAAACATATGTATAAAATTACACTGGCCAGATAAAACTATCTGAATTTGTCAGCGAAAAATTTGATATCAATAAAGGAACTGAACAGGGTCATCCAGAGAAATGTACAGTCTGAACCTCAAGCACAAAGACAGCCTTCGTGATGAAGATGGAAAGTAGTCCTTCAGCTCTCTTCTGCTTTTCTCGTTCTTTCTTTCCTTCCTTCTCCTTCTGCTTTGGATCTGTGACGGATGCTATGAGCGACTCTTGGGACTTTCCGTCCCTACATGGGCTTCCGGCCGTGCGTCCATGTAGGAACTATGGGGCCTTCAGAGTGATAGGGTTACAATGTTTGTTAGTACAGCAATGGATCGCTCCATTGGCCCGACCTCCGAGACGGGGTATCCGAGAGGTCCCTGGTCGTGACCAGCTCTGCACAAAAAGGTGTATTCTGGCGCCTGAAATCTTGGACCGTAGTCTGCGTACGGGGTAGACTGCCACGGACGATTATGTTACACGGGCCGCTCACTGCATTCTGATTTTAGCCAGACCTCAGCAGGTGGTTTGTCTCCACTCTTAGTCTTGTTTCTTTTTTCTTGTCCCCCTGCATCCTTTCCTTCTCCTTTGCTTCCCCCTCTTTTAGTCTTCATTTTCAGCATCAGCCTTATCAGTCTCATCAGTTTTAGTCTTCAGAGCCACTTGCTCCTACGACCGTACCTTACTGGCTCACTGCATTTGGCCCAAACGGCATTTTAATTTTCCTTTTTTTAACTTGCTTACTGTGCATTTCACTTTTTTGCCCTAGCGACTAGCGCGCGTTCGTGTTCCCGAGCCTGCCCCCTTATTCTCTCAGAACACCTCGGGTATAGTACACTTGTTCGTCCAAGTACCTAGTGGTCGACACTTTGACAGTCATCACACTGTTTTGGATTATGGCACAGTGGACATGAAAACTTTTTCTTATCAGTCATTATCATGTCACCCATCACAACATTTTGAACTTCGATAGTACCTCACATGAATTTATCGACAGTTAACTCTCTTTCACTACGACATTCTTAACTTTGTCACACAGTATCACATTTTCATTAGACACCTACATTTTGAGAATCATTTAATTTTCGAATGGAATTTTACCGAATTAAAACCTAGTGTGTGTGTTTGAGCGATTTGTACAACATTTCTGTAATGTTTCAAATTATATTCAAATGTTATAATGTTCCACTTTCCCCTGATCTTTTTAAGATATACATCAGAGATATTTCCCCTCGACTAGAATATGATAACTGTCCGAAACTAATGAACCAACTTATCAGTCACTTACTATGGGCAGATGATCTGATACTCTTGGCACTGGACCCCAAAACCCTCCAATTTCTGCTTGGAATGGGGCGTCGAAATTAATGCAGATAAAACTAAACTCATGAAATTTAATTCCTGTTTTGATAATTATCAGCCGGTTCCCCTCAAAATTGGTAATCACTTGTTAGAAGAAGTCGAGTCATACACTCATACTGTTATCTAGGAATCGAAATACACAAATCCGGCACATTCACAAATGCCCGAGCTGAGCTCAAAAAGAAAGCCATGCGTGCACTTTATGCCGTGAAAAGTTCAGTAAAGAAATCCAAATTATCATTCCGCTCTCTAACAACACTCTTTGATGGTCTTATTAAACCTATCGTTCTTTACGCAGCGCCTATTTACACACCTAATATGACTATCATAAAACACATTACAAAACAAGTCGATCTCAATATGGATCCCGACACAAAAAAAATTTCAAACTAGTATCCTCAAGAAAATTAACCTTCTGAACAGCGAAAAAGTTCACCTTCACTTTCTTAAATGGTCACTGGGTGTAAATCGTAAAACCAGCAACGCAGGCGTCTGGGGTGAGTCAAGCCGCTACCCATGATTAATCTATGAATGTATTAACCTCACTCTCAAATATAGCCGACGCTTGAAAAATCTCAAAGATAACTCCCTTGTCTCCTTAGCTTTCAAAGAACAGATGAACATGAAATTGGACTGGTACAGGGGTTTGGAGCCTGTCCTCGCGCTAGACCCATGTTTCTCTACCGATCATGTCACAGCCTACCGCACACTCAAAAACAATCACTCCAAGTTAATTTTCGAAAGAAACCCGAGTATCGCAAAACCACTAAAAGAGGACTTTCTTATTCACAACGGTTTCAAGAAACGAATTCCTCCGCAATCAACACAACCCATCGGGAGTAAAATATTCACACCACACTACTAAAACTTTGAAATGTAGTTTTAGAATTAGAGAATATTGGGGGTCCTGTATCAACACTTCTCGGAAATTAGAATTCTATCGTGACCTAAAATCCAAATTTAACAAAGAGTATTACCTTAACCTAGACAGTGTCATTAAATATGCAGACCGTGCTAATATCACAAGACTGCGGATCAGTGCACATCGACTCGAAATTGAACTTGGCCAATATAATCAAACTCCTCGCGATGAGCGAATATGCTCCTGGTGCAATATAGTCTTAGGTTCTGTTATTATTGAGAATGAAGATCACTTCCTTAACCATTGTGATCTTAACGCTGCATCGAGGCGAAAAGTCCTAGACAAGATCCAGTCAATCATATCAAATCCAATTAAACCATCTGCGACATCTTATTCTGTTTACACTGTCATCCCTAGAGCAAACGTCCTCAAATTCATCAGCAAAAACTGTGAAATCATTGAATTAATCGCGAACAAGTCAAGTCCACCTCACGAGAGTCGTTGCTAGATTTGCCACTACGTGTTTTAACAACCGCAAGAAATTCGTCGACTCTCTGGCCAGTACATATGAACACTGAAAATCACTGTACCAGCGCTTTTGTTTCTTTACGCGCAACAACGGTATTACGTTGCTTAATACATAAGCTCTAAGACTAAACTGTCAACATGGAGTCTCATGTTAATAAACAGAGTTTATCCTGATTTAATTGGCAGTACTGTACTTACCATTACATTCATTTTAGCATATACAGATTTTCTCATGACGTCTCTCAACTTATGTTATGCCAGGACCCAGAACTAACCGGAGTTATTTTAGAGTTGTGCCTCACCTTTGGCTTTAACTCCTGATTTTTGCAAATCTAGATTTACCGCGGACGTTTTTCCCGTTTAAAATTGCTAAAAACTTATTTTTGGTCTAATAATTGTGTTTTCGAGCCACACGCAAAAATTCTCTGCTACTCTCTGTAATTACATAAGTCTTCATAAATCTTAAAGTTAAACATTAGCATTGGGCAACAAGGAAATGACACTATCTGTAATTACATAAGTCTTCATAAATCTTAAAGTTAAACATTAGCATTGGGCTACAAGGAAATGACACTATCTGTAATTACATAAGTCTTCATAAATCTTAAAGTTAAACATTAGCATTGGGCTAAAAGGAAATGACACTATCTGTAATTACATAATTCTTCATAAACTTAAAGTTAAAGTTAAACAATCGCATTGGGCTACAACGAAATGACACAAAATGAGTACCTATAACAGTTATACTATAAGTATAACATATAATAATTCGACAAATCTTGCGAGCTTGGCTCTCCCATTGCACACCTTTCCTGTCTTTACTAACTGGCTCGTTTATAGAATCTTAATGTTCAGATTATTTTCTTTTACTTTAAAAGAGAAATTAAGATTTTGTGACAATAAGCACGTAAAATTGTAGGTATATTATCATTTTTTCATTATCTTTTCTTACAATAATAAGATTAAGAAAAGATAATTGATAATGAATAAATAATATTAGGTGTGTAGGATTTCAGAAATTTCACAACTCAGATAATCATTGTGCATTAAATTTCTATTCCGTTAACATTGGTTAGCACTTTTTGGACAGTCCCAATCAACAATCAAAATAACCTTCATAACTGCCAACTGGACCATAGTTAGATATATATATATATACCGTTTGGACTGTGGTCTCTGCATATTACAGAGTATAGAGTGACCTGCAATTCTACAGGATCACCCGAACTCTTAAAGGACACAATTATCTTCCATATGAAGTTTCTTAGTACAGTCAGCTGCGTCTTGTAGACTGGGCCGGCAATTCCACCACTTCAATAATTCAAGGTACCAAGTTTCTTAGTACAGTAAGCTGCGTCTTGTAGACTGGGCCGGCAATTCCACCACTTCAATAATTCAAGGTACCAAGTTTCTTAGTACAGTAAGCTGCGTCTTGTAGACTGGGCCGGCAATTCCACCACTTCAATAATTCAAGGTACCAAGTTTCTTAGTAAAGCAGCTCTTAAAGTTAACCGTCCGTTAGACAAGGAGTCCCATGTGGATGAGCATAGTTTATCCTAATTTAATGGGTGCTTACCATTAGTTTAGCATATTAAGATTTGTCCCGCTCTGCTCTCCCAATGCCTTGTATCACGTCGTGACCC